AGAGTCCCGGTTGGGAAACAGTGACATAAACACAAATAAATACCAAAAAAAAAAAAAAAAAAAAAGAGTTATCGGCCCTAGAAGAGTAAGTCCCCAAGAGAATAAAATGTGTCTTTCTCATAGTATTCTGAGACGTGAAGATAAATTTATAAGCAATGCTTTGAATCACACTTTGAAGACATGTAAATTATATCATAAGAAACTGGCTTATAAAGAAAAAGCTAACTGTAACATTTGGCAAATAGTAGTAGACTCTTCCTGCCTTTAAGAATAAACAGATTCTTAAAGGCAGCAATTTTAATCCATAATTCACAGTAAGATTCCAAAATTTGTACCAAAGTTGTTTGGAAACATTGAGGAATGAAAATCACTGCGTTCGGGCCCAACTCGACGTCAGCTAGGATTCCGTTTGCACAGTCGCCTTTGCCAGATGACTGTAGATCGGTCCAACTCCTGTTATCATTTTGCCAAGTTTCCTTCTGCTGAAATGTCTGTGCTCTGTTAGGCTTCTGAGTCGCTGTCTGTGGCCGAGGCTGGACCCCAAACCCCCCTGCACGCATGTGGACAGGCCAAGACCGCTGCCCCACTTCATTCTGTCTCCTCCCAAGTGGGTGCTATCGGGCCCACCCTCCCGGGGCTCATGTGTCTGAGGCCTGCACACATGCTCATGCGTTGTCACCTAACCATGTTTTCCCTGGGATTTAGGAATGACAGGCCGCGGGACAAGGACAATGCATGACTTTTTCCCTCCTAAACTTAAAAAACGTTGTTCGTTTTGAATCGTCCCTTAAAAAGAAATTCTCACCTCAGTCTCCTTTTTTTTTTTTCCCTTCCTAAATAAAGCCTGAGAACTTGCTTTTAGCTAGCAAATCCAAGGGAGCAGCTGTGAAGCTGGCCGACTTCGGCTTAGCCATCGAAGTCCAAGGAGACCAGCAGGCGTGGTTTGGTGAGTAGAGCACATCCTCCCTGGGCGCGCGTCCCCGGGCAGGACGGGACGCCGGAGAGCGTGGGGCCGGGACTCCCCGGCAACACTGACTGCTGGTAGTAAGGGCGCAGACAGAACTTCGGGGAGAGGAAGCACAGAGCAGCGACGGTAGACTTGCAGCCCTTGAGCGGATGGGTGAGAAGCGCCCACGCTGAGGACTCCGGGGCCGCGGGGTGAAGACCTGACACCAGCTGGAGGCCCCTACCCAGCCTCACTGACTCCCCCGTGTCCAGCCAGAATCAGCTGCTGCACCCTCTGATGTCCTGGTGTGTTTCTTCTTTGCATTTGCCGGTGTCAGCCATTTCTCCCGGGACGTCCCAAAACACAGCCCCTCCCAAGCTCTTATGGCGTGTGCGCCCCGCTAGCCCCTGGGCCTGCCGGCCCGCCGCCGAGGGCTCATGCACTCACGGGTGTCACACGTCCGTCCCCCTCCAGGCGTGCGGGGAGTGGGTGCGTGGCGGCCCTCCCCCCCAGCCCTGCACCCGCGGTGTGACTCAGGGCCCGGTGTCGGCTGCTGCCTGCTCGGCGCCCAGTTTCAGGGCCCCGGGTGTGCCCGCGGGCGTGTCCTCCCGCGGTGAACCCCGCCCTTACGTGAGTCGCCCCCACCCCATGAGCTGGACCCTTTGAGGCTTGGCATTTGGCTGACCCTGTTTTTTTTTTTATTATTTATTTTTTTTAAAGGTTTATTTATTTATGCATACAGAACCAGGTTTCAGGCCAGGGGTAATGAAAGGATTCACCAGAGACAGAGCGGGGAGCAGAACAGGCAGAT